GATACGAATGATCACGCACCTGAATTCACTCAACCGTGGTTCACATTTGACGTTGATGAAGGTATATCACGAGGAATTTTTGACGATTGTTCTGATGGAATACTTCCATCATTGCTCTTTAGTGTCGAAATTGAATGAACTCATTAGGTTCTGAAATACGAGTGAAGCTTATAAGGACATGAATGTTAGAATATGTTGATGAGTATAAATGTGAATCAGTCGGCATACTGTAATGAATGCTCAATTTTGATTATAATTATCCTTTTCGAATTTTTGAGTGACGACAACTGATCAAAAAAAAATCCCTCTTTCATTCGACTTTATTCGCCTTATTAAAGTTTCATTTGATGGTTGCCATTATTGATGGCTCCGAAAAGTAAGCTTTCATTTCGAACTGAACATGATTATACGGTAAGTTGAACAAATGCCTTTAGAGTTGAGTTCGTGGTTTCAGAGTACTGAATTAGTAATTGCGTGCAACTGTGAATTTTCAATGATAATTTCTATTGTTTTTTCAACAAATCCTTTCTTTAATGCTCCATTTGAACCTCATTGCTAGCGTTCGTTCCCATTGTCTGTTCAGAATTCATCTAGACTCGAGAACTAAGAATACTTCATTCGTAATGTAAATTTTTGTGGGCTCAGTGCTACTGAACATATCCTATTGAAGTGATATTCAAAGGAAATGAGGCTATTTCTGTGATTTGACTCAAATGGACATTGTTTGTGCACTCAACAGACTGATTTTTGTGTTAACATTGACCGATGACAATGAGCTGATTTGATCTGAAGTATCTTCAGGTAAAATCTACTCGCAGATCGCACGTCTACAAGCCAACGACAAAGACTGTGGTCATCCATACGGTCAGATTTGTCGATACGAAATCACAAACGCATTAGATGGCTTTCCGTTCGCTATTGACGATCAGGTTNTGCGTATAACTCGTGTGTAATTAGAGCGTCTCAAGTTTTCGGTTGCCTGCAATTTAGATTTTGCAATTCATATGTTTCACCGTTTCATAAGCTTTTCAGGGTATCCTCAGAAATACAGAGCCACTGAACTACACTCAAGCAAAGTCATACATCCTAACAATAGTGGCGCATGACTGTGGTATGCGTCAGTCGAAGTCCACACTTGTGACTGTGAATGTTCGTGAGGCATGCATCAGCGGTGTCGAGGGGATACTCGAACGTATCACCTATACGGCTGGAAGTGGCTCTCGAAAGATAGCACCAGATGCCCGAATTATGACTTGTGCTGAGTCGAATTCATGCGTTGTAAAGAGTGTCGAGAGTGTTGTCACACTCAAAAGCGATCATATTGCGCAGGGCTGCGATCGTGAGGATGTTTTCTCGTTGAAAACTCAAGCCAGGTAACTACTAACTGATCAAATTTCAAAAGCCTTATTTAAGAATTCCCGTTTCATTCGTAGCTAAGAAATATGCTTTTTTCTCAAATAAAGCCTTCTATGAATGTGTTACAAGCTATGATTCTTTCGTGGAAAGTACTCCTTGCATGAGCGATCATAAAGAGTGCAATTCACAAGAAATGTTCTTTGTGGAAGAACTTGTTTATTGGCTTGGATGGATGGAGTCTCATTCAAGGCTCTATTATATTATTCATGCAACAGACAAAATCTTTGTCCAATATCGTCAATTTTCTCACTTCGTTACCGTTTGTTCCTTTGTTCATTTGGTTCGATTTTCCATTTTTTTTCGTTCATTCAACTTGTTTGCTCTTGCCTTAGTTCTTAACTTGGTACTTTCTCCTATTGTCC